CTCTCTCTCTCTCTCTCTCTCTCTATCCAAAGCAGAACTCCCAAACACAGATTCATTAACCTTCACAAATGGCCCTGAAACAGATATAAACTGCACGGCGCAGGAATGCCATCACACACTCGGTGGCTCAGTGAGACTGTGCTTGTGCCATCTGCCCGTTAACATGCAAATAAAGCAATTAAAATTCACACCGCACTGCTGCCAACGCGAAAAGTCCATCCCATGTGTGTGTGAGTGTGTGTGTGTGTGTGTGTGTGTGTGTGTGTGTGTGTGTGTGTGTGTGTGAGTGAGTGTGTGTGTGTGTGTGTGTGTGATTATGGCAGTAGTTCAGGATCGTCATTTTGGCCCCATCATGGTGTTAATTATCCCGTGTTAAACAGCGAGAATCAACTCAGAACAATGTGTTGCTGTGCGGATCTCTGTGTGTGTGTGTGTGTGTGCACCTGTTTTTCTATCCTGGTGGGGACTTAAACCTGAATACACACAGACTCATGGGGACTCGTGTCACGGTGGGGACCTAAATTGAGGTCCCCACGGGTAAACAAGCTAATAAATCACACAGAATGAAGTTTTTTGAAAATCTAAAAATGCAGAAAGTTTCCTGTGAGGGGTAGGTTTAGGGGTGGGGTTGGTGTAGGGCAAAGTGTGTGTGTGGGTTGATGCAATATTATAAATCTGAAATGAATGAGTAACAGACATATACTGTAGTTTGTCGTCAGTGTAATTCATCAATGAAATCAATGCACGTGTGGTTTATATCCTTCAGTCCTACAGTTTGGAGAGAGTCTTACTGAGTGAGTGTTAGTAATGCATTCTCATCTGTGTTTGCATATCTGTATTGTTATTGTTAGCTAAAACTATATTTGGTAATAGAAATAAAGCTGAAATAAAATTTAAATATAAATATTAGATGCAAAACTTACTTAAAAATAAGAAATGTGGCCTTGGCAACTAACTGAACTAAAATAAATACACCTGAAATAAAATAGAAATTAAGCTTTATATAAAAAAAATAAAATAAAAAAAGAATAAAAATGACAAATGCACATTAAAAAATTACTAAATAAAATAAAATATAGATATTGTTTAAAAAAAGAAACAAATATAAATAAGAAATGTTGCCTTGACTAACTGAAATATGAGGAAGTATTAAAATTATATATATATATATATATATATATATAAAAAATCTCATTTCAAAATTATCAAATAAAATAAAATGTAAGTTGGAATAAAATAAAACAAATATTAGATGAAAATAAGAAATGTGACCTTGGCAACTAACTAAAATAAAATAAGTTGAAGTACTACAATTATGAATACTATAACTGAAATAAAATGTATTTAAAGCTATATAAAAATAAAAAAGTAATAAAAATGACAAAAGCACATTACAAAATTACTAAACAGAAATAAAGCTGAAATAGAATAAAATATAAATATTGCATGAAAACCAAACCTAAATGAAAATAAGGAATGTTGTCTTGTTGAACTACTAAAATTATTAAAGCTAAAACTGAAAACGGAAATAAAATAAAATTAAAGGTATAAAAAACAAAAACTAATAAAAATGACAAAAGCTCACAATAAAACTTACATTGAAAAAATTCTAACATTAAAAATACAAGCTCATTTAAAACATTAATAAATAACTCAAATAGTATATAAATAATGCTACAATAACACTGTTGCATATTTGTATGTTTCTGACCCTCGTGACCTTCCTGCTGAAGCTCAAATGAAGACACACAGCAGATCAACTCACTGAACGAACTCTATTTCAGTCCCTACAGACTCATTTCATTCACATCAGATGAAATATGACGTCTATCCTGATGAGATCCAGACAGATGACAGAAACAGCTAATAAGAGCTCAGAGCATCAGAAAGCAGAAGAGCGGAGCTGCTTTATTAACACTCCTCCATCAGCTGTGTGACAGAGAGAAGAAAGTTCACATCCCACACATGTGGAAGCGCGTTTCTGTCGTGAA